CATATAATATTGTCTTCACAAAGTCCACTCTGCTTCCTCACTGTGGCATGAAAAAGACTCCAAGGTTCCAAAGTCTATGCAAACTGTGGCAAGTTTCCCCTTGCAAGAGAGGCTTGGTGTATAACTTCAGCAACAGAATGTTTGCTTGCAAAAAAACAAAACAAAACACAGACAGGCTTACTGTGGGTCATTAATGATAAACTCTTTGGCCATGATAACATGAAAAAACAAATCCTTCATGAAGCTGCCAAAATTATCTTCCTAAATCACAAGTCTGACTATCTTAGTCCCCTACTCAAGAACCCTCCATATCTCTCTGCTGCCTCTAGAATAAAATATAAACTCTTCAGTCTGGCTCCAAACTACCTTTCCAGCCTTATTTTATATTGTTTCTCACTCACTAAACCTTTATATTTCAAATTCTTCCCCTAAATTCAACATTCCTTCTCCAATTTTTGTGTATATGTACAGTCTCCCACACCTAGAACTCCTGCACTCACATTTGCCTCTCAGAATCAAGATCATTCTTCAAGCTTAGTTCATGTGCCATCTTCTCCAGGAGCCCTTCTTTAATTCCTCCCAATTTAATGCTCTTTCCTCCAATGATTATCTTGTAATTACTTATGTGTATATCCTACTCCAACTCATCCCACTCACCTCCAGCAGAAGGTGATTTCTTTGAAGGCACAGACTCATTTTTGTCTCTGAATTACCACTGTGTAGCACAAAGGCTGACTGTTTGAACTGAACTGACCCAATGCCTTTTAAAATACAAACACTGCTATCTGCGTATCTCTTCAGGATATTCAAAATTTCAGCACTTTCACAAATTTTGCTTCTATTTCTGGGAATTTTTTTTTTTCATAACCTGTACAAGCACACAGCAACTGTTTTACTTGTTACTGACTTTGCACTAGAATTTGTCAAATCTCTTTTGATGTTCTTTTTCATTTCTATCTACATATAGGGTATTTCTTCTGAAGTCCACGGGGTCTAGGAAGCTCAAATATTTTAAAATCTCCCTTCTATAAGAGTTATTACAATGGCCCTGTCTCCCAAACCTACAGTATCCATACCCTCCTATTGCTGTTTTCATTCCTTTTCTTGACTTGTGGTTCCATGTCTGGGCCTTAGGACAGAATAATAAATTTACTAAGACAAGTGAAGAGTCACTCACATAAATAATGCACTAATAAAAATTTAATATCATAAAACAAATCAAAAAACACCAACTTTTTTTTTAAACCATTCACAATTAAAGTGGAAAAAGACAAAATTATAAGGCAGCCATCCATGGAATGATTTCATGTTTATAAAGGATTGAGAAGAGAGACATTTAAAATCACTGTTCAAGCCTTTGAATTTGGGGAACAGCAATGTTATCCTATAGAAATCCAACTTAATAGAAGATGCTGCCAGAAAAAATAATTAGCCAATCTTCTTGTGTTCAGCGCCTGCATTAGGCTGAGTACACCTGGAGAGTTACCAAAATGTTCTATGTTCCCTTCCCACAAATAATAACTTCCTTCCAGATCTCCTGAGGTTGATATCAATGAGCTGAAGGAACAAAGACGGTAAGTAACATCACTGACTTGATTCACAGCATCCCTTACTCTTTTGGGGAACAATGAATATACTGTAACTAGGCACATATTTACCACTGCTTGGAAGATTCTTGTAAGATAAATACAAAGGGTTCCTCCAATTTAGCAGTTCTCAATAAGTGTCCTAAGTCTCTCAAAAGATTAGATTTTTACACACAATAAGCAGGAATGTTCTTTGGGGTTTTGTGTTGAGACAGTCATCAAAATCCTGTACTCAGCTTCTCACTACCAACATATAATGTACTTCAGCTGCTTAAGATAGCCTGATGCTGGTGTGCTGTCCTTGCTAATTCTCATCCACTTGAAAGGGAAAAACCAGGCAGCTTATAACTAGGCTGGTGGGGGGAAAAAAAAGAATACAGTTTTCTCTGTCACCACAAGGGACAGATATTCTAAGCAGCCATTTTTCTTCCTTTCCCGATGATTGAAAAAAACAAAAATACAGGAAAATAGCTGATGTAGTAAGCACAGAGTTAGGGGAAAAGAGGTGAGGAAAAGAAAAAGGAGAGCATACAGCCTCTGTAGGTAGTGCCTTTCCCAACTCTCAGTGTTCTAGTGCAGAACCTCTGGCTACACTAAGCAATGGAAACCTAGCAATGGAAAATCAAAGCAGAACCAAATTGAGCATCAAAGGATCAATACTTCAAAAGAAATGGTAATTGACATGTGGCTACCTGAAAATACTTGAGGTGTGATAAAATTTCAGTCAAGAGAAAATTCTGGATCTGAGCAAAATCTCGTACCATAAAGGCAGCCAGACTGCAACTAAAATGAACTTTGGCTACTAGCAGGGGGAAAAAACGCTTTTCATTATAAGTTGTGTATCTCTTTGGTAGCCAAAAATTCCATCCAAAATCATGGCGGCAACTTAAATATCGCTAATGATTTAATACCTATTATAGTATTAAGGCATCCACATTTAAAGAGGCAGGTGAAAACAAGGGAAAAACAGAAATGAAATGTATCATTAAGTTAAAATCAATATGGCCTCTCCCCCAGTGCAATGTGTCACAATAGAAAAGTTTTTCTTTGTTTTACCAACAGATGTTGGTTAAACTGCTCTGCTGCATGGAGAACTATTTGAGCCCTACAAATTTATTATGGCTATTTTTTAACTGCTGACCTTGAATAAAGACAAGGAATTCCTGGGGCAGAAAAACAAAAGTCTAGGTAGAACTATAGACAATGCTCTTAGGAGCTAATAAGTCCTGAAAGATTTGCCTGTAATGGTAAGGTTGCAGATGAAGGTAGGTCTGGAGAAACAGTTTAATCCTTGTAAGTGTCCAAGGCCCTGCATGGCAAGATTCTAGCCAAACTCATAAAGATGGTGGCAAGGCACTGCTGAAAGGGTCTTTGGCCAGCAGAGTAATGAATCTCTATTCACTGCACAAGAGCTAGATGGTAAAATTCCCATCCAAACCAAATACCAAAATTGTGCAATTTATTTGACAGCAAAAGTGCAATGTTAAATAGAATTCAAGGCAACCAAGTAATTTTGAAGGGCAAGATGAAGCCCCATATCTATCTTGTCTGGCTAAGAAAATCACATATTTTCTGTACAATATCTTCTGTATATCTTAAGTACAAGTGATGCAATGGGGGGGGAAGGGAAGTAATTTACTATATAGCAAACCATCTCACATGGTACTACTTTGGTCTGCAGCCAAGAGGGCTCACAAATCCTTATCTATAGCTAACAATGATAAACTAGTTAGTAAAGAAATCACAGGCATATTACAGCTTGTGTGTCACATATAATTTTTATGGGATAAAAAATCTATTTATAGGAGAAAAATAATCTTGTTCTCCTTTATGTGATAACGTTTGGAGCTGGGATAAAAAAAGTAAATCAAAAGTTAAAAATACAATAATAACATTTATTTTCCAGTCCCAGCAAAGGATTAACAGGGACTCCAAACATCCAAAGCACTGATTTGGGAAATGTTAGGGCTTGAGGGCAGAAACTCACTGAGTATGTTGAACAGGTTTACAACTTAAAAAAAAAAAGAGGTCCAGCATTTTAACTACTGTGCCAAATCTCTCATAAAAAGGTAAGTCATTTAAAGGCTTAGACAATTTGCACTGGATGAAAATCACCTATCTGGAGGAAATGGGAATGGAGTAAGAGCTGAGCTTCAACACAATCCAAAGAGTGGTTGTCCTGATGAGAACGAAATCCTGTAGAATTAATTAGCATCCCTACCACCAAGCTGACTACGGGCAGAATAGGGAGGAGGAAAATGGAAGGACGTGTATAAAAGCTTAGAGGGAAAAGTTTTATCTCAGAGGCAAGTGTGGGAAAGATCAGGGGACATGATTTCAATTACAAGGAGAACACGTCTCATTTATGATCTACCATAACTTTTCCTTACTACAAAAGATGCTTACTTGATGCATACTTAGCACTCCCATGATGCACCAATTATTTTACCAAAGGGACTGCTGTTCTGCTAACATTAATACTTTTTAAAAACAAGAAAACTCACAACACGGGATTCGGTTACTCTAACTTTAAAAATGATCCAGAGACTTCTCTCCTTAGTATCCATAATTTGTTTAAAGTTTAGTATCTCTTCATTTTTAAAGATGCTCTGCAAATCTGAGTCCCTGGAGAGGGCCTAAGCTGTGCTGCTGCTCCACAGGAATATGCTGAAGACTGCAATTCTTCCAGGGGGAGAAAAATGGAGAAAAATATTTTAATTTAATTGGAGGGAGCAGCTAGGTGGCACAGTGGATAGAGCACCAGCCCCCAAGTCAGGAGGACCTGAGTTCAAATCCGGCCTCGGACATCTGACATGAGCTGTGTGATCCTAGGCAAGTCACTTAACCCCAACTACTTCACCAAAAAAAAATTATAATAAATAACAAAAAAAATTTAATTGGAGAAAAATATTTTATAAAACTGTTCACCTCTTTAGAAGGAAACTTTCCCATATTTCATTTCCTGGAATTTTACCTTTTCCTGCAGAGAAACAGAAGCAAGTATTTCATTCCTTACTAATCTGTGCTTCCCCAGTTATTTCCTTTTTGTGTACCCACTCACCATTTTCATTTTTCTTTCAACAAACCTAAATTAAATCACCTTTCAGCATGCAATCCAGACATGGGACACAGATGTTATAAGCACCAGTGTCAAAATGGTGAAGACCAAGTTAAAAACAAAAACAAGTTCAGAGATCCCTTAAACTAAAGAGGAGGTTCAATATGTGTTAACCCAAGTATCAAAGATGAATCTTGAATATTATACTTCAATAATTATTATTTTAAAGTGAGCAATTAAGTCTTCCACTTTACTTTGAAATTCTAAATTTTCATTTTTCCTGAGAAGAGGGTAATCAAAATCCTAAAAACTCAAATATGAAGGGGTCTTTTAAAAAATGTGAGATAACCAAAGAATTTATATAGGCATATGTAATATGTTTTTATACTAAAAAGCATTTCTAGTACTCTGAGTTTTACATCACAATCCTCATTGGGTTTCTGAAATATTGGTGGAGCTAGACAAGGTAAGACAAGAGACTGAGGAATTGAGCAGCTGTAATGCGCTATCCACATCAGACTTCTGAAAGACCAAGGACAGAGGCTGGGACCTGAACACTTAATGCTGGTGTCCAATCGACAAAATGAGTGGGATGAGGCAACCCAAAACCAAAGCGGCCACCTCCAGGCGGCTGAGTCCTTTTCCTCCAGCAGAGTCAGGCTTGTGACTGTGACCCAGTCCTCCCACCTCAGGGAGGACATGTACTGTAGCAACATACAGAAATGTCCCAGCAGAGAAAAGCATGGCCACTCCAGTGGCATTGACCTCTGAAAGGGCTTCTTTGCTGCTCTGTGAAATTTAAAACAAAAAGAGGTTTAAGAATTAGAGCTAAATTTATGTATGGTCAGGCAAAAATCACAGTAAGAAACCAGTAATCCTTCACAATTAGCTCTGGCTGAGACAAGTAACCAAAGATCATGGATTAAATTACTAGCCCATTCATATAAAAGTTTCCAAAGCAGAATTTAAAAACACATGCTATACATAATTTAACTAGTTAAAATGAACGGATATAACCATTTAACCTTAAGTTTACATAAATTTAAAGATGAAAATAGTGACACACATAAGAAGATTTTTTTTAAAACTTTTGTTTTTAATACTTTGGGTTTCAAATTTTCTTCCTTCCTCCCTCCCCACCCACCCTCATTGAGAAGGCAAGCAACTCGATACAGGTTATATATGCATAGTCATGCAAAACACTTCCACAGTAGTCATGGTGTGAAAAACTAAGTATATTTTCCTTAATCTTCTTCCACCCCCAATTTATTCTATTCTCTCTTTTGACCCTGTTCTTCCTTAGAAGTGTTTGCTTCTGATTACCCTGCTGCTGATAGGTTCTTAGCAGTATACTCTAAGAAGGCCTTAAAAGGTATAAAAACCCAATTTGTACTCTGAGAAACTGAAGATACTACCAGGTTGAACAATTCTCCTTAACATGCTAATACATATTTTTCTTTTCAGTTTGACCACAAGTTACTCGACACTCATCCCTCCACTCCTTCTTCCCTGCCACCCCACCCCCCCAAGCAGCAGCAGATTTAATTGGTAAATGAGATTCTCCCTGTGGTATCCAAGAACATAGGCTATAAAATTCCCCCAACAATACTATGTTTAATCATATCAAAATTTTTCTTCCATGCAAGAATTTTTTAAAAATTCATGCTAATTACACTAAAGTCAAGTCCTAAGTAATGACAGTACAAAGAAGATTGATAAAAGTTGATTAAAAGCTATAGTTTATGGAAGCAGATGCAGGTTTTCTAAGTGACAGAGGACAGGGGCTGGACCTGTGATTTCAGAGGAAGAAGCTCCTTCTACCCATGCAGTCAGCACTTTCTTTGCAACTTCTAGTCTCAGTGAGTTGCTCAGAAAACAGTGGCTTGCCTAGCATCAAACCTAGCTCTTTCTGACACTCTTCACTGTAGCAGGTTGCCTCTCCTTTCTAGGCGAAGAGAATATAATACATGATTCCTCAGCGGTTCAATTAACAAAAACACAATCAAACAGAACTTTTTATTAATTACCCAAGCAGACCTAGCCATCACCCCAAAAGACACCTATACTTTTCTTTCTGGAAGAAAAAAAAAGCAAATAACTCAACAAGACTATAGAAAAGATTCAGTTTAAAACCAAACTAAACACCAAACCTTCCAGGCCACTGGGTTCAGTAAACGTTGAGCTCAGTCTTCTACTCTATCAAATAAAGATCTAATTATGTTCATTATACTCTTAATAAGGCAAAAAAAAAAGTAGACTAAATGGATCAATGCTAAGCTATAAAGCATACTGACTTGTATATTTAAGACATCTATCCTGTGAGAATAATGAGGATGTGGTATTCTTCACTCTCTGCTGCCAAGGCTTATCAATTTCACATCTCCCCCTAGTCTCCCATACAACCCCTTCTCTCCTCTGACAGCAGCATCACTAGGGCACTTTCTCCTCACCTCATGCCTCGATTATTACAACAACCTGCTGGCAGATCTGCCTGCCTCAAGCCTCTCTCTACTTCACTCTATCCTCCATGCAGCCACTAAAGTGATCTTCCTAAAGCACAGGTCTGACCACATCAATCCTCCCCACCTTCCCGCCCCCTGACAAGACTCCAGCGGCTCCCCACTGTCACGAGGAGCAAACACAAAATGCCCTGTCTAGTATTTAAAGCCCTTCAGAGCGCAGCCCCCTCCTACTTCTCCAGTCTTCTTACACCTTACTCCCTGACACACACTTTGCGATCCAGTGACACCAGCCTTCTGGCTGTTCCACAAACAAGACATTCCCTCTCTCCACTCCAGGTATTCTCTCTAACTGTCCCCCATACCTGGAATGCTCTCTCTCCTCTGCTCTGCTTCTTGGCTTCCCTGGAAGCCTTTCCCAACCCCTCTTAATTTTAGTACCTCCCTTCTGTTAATTATTTCCTATTTATCCTCTATACAGCTTGCTCACACATACCTGTTTGTTTCTTGTCTCTCTCTCATAAGACTGTGAGATCTTTGAGGTCAGAGACTGTCTTTAGCCTCTTTTTGTATCCCCAGGGCTAAGCACAGTACCTGCCACATAGTAGGCACTCAATAAATATTTACTGACTGATTAACTAAAGCATTATATTAATGTGAATTGTTATTATACAAGATTTTATATTCCCAATTCTTAGTTCTGACCAGGCAATTTAACTGAAAAACTACTCCTTGGAAAATCTGGTGCAGTCTAGAATGTAGTTTGCAAGTCTTCCTATAACTATTGACAAGCCATTAAAGAATCATACTCTTATCTGGAAAACAATTTTACAGGATGAGAAGTAGAAAGAAGACATACTTACCTTACTTAGCCCTAAGTATGTTACCATGGCCATAACAGGTGCTGCCAGGGCAAAGACCAGCAAATGCTTTCTGATTCGGTTTCGTTCCAGTCCAGCATGCATTAGGAAAGAAACCAGGCCAAAGGCAGCTGGTGCCTGAAAGAAAAATTCCAGTTACTTACTAGTAATTCTATTTCTCTTAAGTTCTGCGAAAGTTTTTGCATGGCATTTGATAGAGACAGACTTTCCATCTAACAAGTATAAGGTATAAAAAGCCATATAAAAAACCTTAGGAAAACTGGATAATGAGGAGTAAATGAAGAAGCTCGATGGAGCACACGGAAGTGACTTTAAAGTTTTGATATTTTATTCATCAATTAAATTAAATATATCTATAGTTACCCCTTCCACATTGAGGGGACTAGGGGCACAGCGCCCCCACAATCTGGAAAATCCTCATATAATTTTTTGGCCCTCTCTGCATACCAGAGAAGAAGTCTTCTGGCTTCATGGATTTCCTTCTCTTTTTTTCTTGATATTATACAATACTATACATATATTTTATGCATTTCTGACTTTCTAAACATTTTCCATGTTGTCTGTTGGCCTTTACATGTCGTCTGCAGCTTCTGCAAAACTCCCAAGAAATTCCCATTTAATTTCTTATGCTGAGTCATGATATATTGAAACCACAATGAGGAAAGTCAAGATGTGGAAGGTTAACTGTAGTTACTAAGCAAGTTTAGTTATATTACTATTCTATATTATTTTTAATAAATATTTTTAAAATTTACATATTAAAAGTTACTATGATACTGTACAGAACTAAAGATTATATAATATTTTTACAATTTTCTTACAATTAATGGCTATTCCCAAAAGACTCCCTATTACTTCACCCCATCACTGCACTTAAGTTTCACAAATCAGAGTAACTAATGTTCCTGCGCAAAGCAATTTTAAATATAAACTCACTCGATATCAGATCTTACTCCAAATGCTTACCTTATGTAGCATTATTGCCACAAATACGATTAGCTGGACGCTAGTTTGTGAAGTAGAAGCTGCTGCTCCCAAAGCAACACCATCAGCTGAATATATAAAAATGAAACCGAAAAATACCCTTAAGTCCACAAGTCCATCCAAAGACATACATATATGAAGTGCTTCAAAAGAAAATGTCCCTTTTTTTCCTTTAACCGTTGGGAAAACAAAGTCAGGCAGCCAGGACACCAAACTCTTTATTTCACCAAAAGAAATCTTACTCATTGACCCTTAAACGTTAAATGAGTTTTAAATCAATATTCCGTATATAATTTTTTTACCCATGGCCTAAAGTGTATATCAACTGGAATTAATTTCCCTTTTTCCAAAAGGAGTTTGCCAGGTTGAAAAGCTCTAGCGTGAAAGTTCTCAAATGAGCCTTCTGCCTCTCACCTGCCAGGAAGGGCTTCATTGCAACTGTCTATTTCAAAAGATTCCCACTCTAATGCTTAAAGCTATGATCCTAAAGTAATACCATGAAAAATCTTATGGTTTCCATTCTGGAGCATCCCCCACTTAAAAAGAAATACTTGAGTCTCATAGACATTATCAGCTCTTTTTCACCAAACAGATTCCAATGTATCATGCTGAAGTACATGGGGGCTTTATGTATCATTCTATGTAGGTAGGTGGAAGACATGAAGAAAAGGGTTAAAGAGAGGAAGGAGTTGTAGGTCTTTGTATGTGATCTGGAAGGCGGCCCCTGATAAATAGTATTTTTCCAATGTTTGCACATGAGTTATGCTAGTCCCTGTAAACTGAATATTAACAAACTGAAAACTGGGCCAGTGACCAAGTGGTATTCTATTCACACACAGGAGCATCATGTGCATAGTTCAATCCTACCTGCAGCATGAACTACAAGGCCCAATGTCGTAGTGATTTTGGAATTGTTGGATCGTGCTGCTTCTGGATCTGAAATGAAAATGAGAATGACAATTCTCAAGGAAGATGAACCATAAATTGATATAATATTGGTTTGGAGGCAGAAGTAATTATTTGAGAACTAACTATACTCTCCCTTATAATATGGAAGAAAGCGTATACAGTATTAATTTTGACATTAGAAGATCTGGGTTGGGGCAACTACGTGGTGCAGTGGATAGAGCCACCGGCCCTGGAGTCAGGAAGATGATCACATCTTTTTTTTTTTAATCTGCTGAAACAGCTGTTTACTAACTGCTTGTTGAAATAAAAGAAATCAATATTTTTCTTTACTACATAATGATGTTAATATTAAATACATTTATAACAATAGCTAACATTTATATAGTACCTGTATGGGCTAGGCCCTGTGCTATACATTTTACAAATACTATTTCATTTAATCCAACAACCCTGGAAGACAGGTGCTATTACTATGAGGACAGTACTAACATCTAAGGAAACTGTGGCAAACAAGTTAAGTCCAGAGTCACCCAGCTAGTTAAGTGTCTGAGGCTGAACTTGAATTCAGGTCTTCCTGACTCCAGGCCCAGCACTCTATCCGATGTCACCTTATATTACTTCTATAGATTAGTTTATTTCAAGTAGAGAAGTCAGATTACGTTGGAACCAATTAAAATGACTAAAGAATGCTCAAGTGACTAATAGAAATGGTATTAATATCAAAATGCCAGGTCAGAAATAGGTTAGGGTAAGAAGTCAAAGACGCCAAAATATTTCTTTCTTTGTTTATCCCCCACCCCTCCACCTCAGTTAGGCAATGGGGATTAAATGACTTCCCAGGGTCACACAGCTAGTAAGTGTCAAGTTTCTGAAGCTGGATTCAAACTCAGGTCCTCCTGACTCCAGGGCCAGTGTTCTACCCAATGCGCCTCCTAGCTGCCCCAAAAATATTTATTTCTTTAAGAAATAACACAGGAGGCAAAGGCAGAGTCAAGATAAGGACTCTCCTGAGCTCTCCCCCAAACTCCTCCAAATACCTTTAAAAATGATGCTAAACAAATTCTAGAGTAGCAGAACCCACAAAAAGACAGGAGTAAAACAAATTTCCAGCCCAAGACAACTTGGAAGGCCATCAAGAAAGGTCTGTTGTACCAGGGTGAGAAAGAAGTACAGTCCAGAACAGGCTGTGCCAGCTTACCCTGGCCCCAGCAAATCAGGAACAGGCCTTGGGAATGACTGAATCAGCAGTGGCCGCAGTAGCTTCTGGAGCTCTCGCCCCACAGACTGTAAGGGGACCCCCTTATGCTGGAACAATGGGTCAGAAGGAGATTAAAGGGATCTTTTTGCTAGCACTGAGGCAGGACTCTACTGCTTTGCCTATACTTGGATCTGATTTGCAGTCCTGGGTGGCAGTCTCAGGGTGAGGAGGAGCACTAGAACAGCAGATTGCAGCAGCAGAGGAGGGTGGATCCTCCTCACAGTTCCAGGACAGAAAAGAGTGCTTGTGGTCACTCACAAAGCAGAGCAAAGGCCAAGAGAGCAGTAAACACGTCTCCTTAGATCACACCCACCTTGGAAGAACTGAAAACTTACAGGTCCCTAGAGGTATCTCTGAAAACAGCTGCACAAGACCCCTGAAGCTTGGGAGAGTGCACCCTCCACCCTGGAAACAGAGCCCTACTTTAACAAAGAGTAAAAAGTCAAGTAATAGGCTGGGGAAATGAGTAAACAACAGGGAAAAACACTCTGACTATAGAAAATTACCATGCTGACAAGGAAAATCAAAACACATACTAGTAAGAAGGCAACAAAGTCAAAGCCTCTACATCCAAAACCTCCAAGAGAAATATAAATTGGTCTCAGGCCATGGAAGAGCTCAAAAAGGATTTTGAAAATCAAGTAAGAGAAGTAGAGGAAAAATTGGGAAAAGAGAGTGATGCAAGAAAATCATGAAAAACAAGTCAACAGCTTGGTAAAAGGAGACACAAGAAAACACTGAAGAAAATAACACCTTAAAAAACAGACTAGGCTGAATGCTAAAAGTGGTCCAAAAAGCCAATGAGGAGAAGAATATCTTAAAAAGCAGAATTGGCCAAATGGAAAAGGAGGTCCAAAAGCTCACTGAAGAAAATAATTCCTTAAAAACAGAATGGAGCAAATGGAAGCTAATAATTTTATGAGAAATCAAGAAACAATAAAACAAAATCAAAAGAATGAAAAAATAGAAGAAAATGTTAAATATCTCACTGGAAAAACAACTGACCTGGAAAATAGATCCAGGAGAGGTAACTTAAAAATTACTAGACAAACCCTGAAAGCCATGATCAAAAAGAGCCTAGACATCATCTTTTAAGAAATTATCAAGGAAAACTGCCCTGATATTCTAGAACCAAAGGGTAAAATAGAAATGGAAAGAATCCACCAATCACCTCCTGAAAGAGATCCCAAAATGAAAACTGCTAGAAATATTATAGCCAAATTCCAGAGTTCTCAGGTCAAGGAGAAAATATTGCAAGCAGCCAGAAACAATTAGAATATGGTGGAGTCACAGTCAGGATAACACAAGATTTAGCATTTTCTATGTTAAAGAACTGGCACAGTAGAAAACATGGGCCCTGGAGTCAGGAGGACCTGAGTTCAAATCTGCTCTCTGACAAATAACACTCACTAGCTGTGTGACTCTGGGCAAGTCACTTAACCCCAATTGCCTCACCAAAAACAAAACGAAACAAAAAAACCCCAAAAAACACCAGAGGGATTGGAATATGATATTCCAAAGGGCAAAAGAACTAGGATTACAACCAAGAATCACCTACTCAACAAAACTGAGTACAATCCTTCAGTGGAAAAAAATGGACATTCAATGAGATAGAGGACTTTCAAGCATTCTTGATGAAAAGACCAGAGCTGAATAGAAAATTTGACTTTCAAATACAAGCCTCAATCAAGAGAAGCATAAAAAGTAAACAGCAAAGAAAAAGCTTAAGTTTAAACTGTTCACATTCCTACATGGAAAAATGATATTTGTAACTCATAAGACCTTTCTCATTTTTAGGGTAGTTAGAAGAAGTGTGTGTGTGTATGTATATATATATATATATATATATATATATATATATATATATATATGCAGCAGGCATAGGTGTGAGTCGAATATGAAGGGATGATATCTAAAAAATAAGATTAAGGGGTGAGAGAAGATACTGGGAAAAAGAGAAAGTGAGAAGCAGAATGGGGTAAATTATTCCACATAAAAGAGGCAGGAAAAGGCTTTTACAGTAGAGGGGAAGAAGGGGGAGGTGATAAGGGAGTGTGTGAACCTTACTCTCATCAGAATTGGCTGAAAGAGGGAAAAACAAACACAAACATAAATGAGTATAGAAATCTATCTTACCTACAGGAAAGCAGGAGGGGAAGTGGATAAGAGAAGGTAAGGCAGATTGGGGAGGGAGTAGTCAGAAGCAAAACACTTTTGAGGAGGGACAGGGTGAAAGGAAAAGAGAAAATAGAATAAATGGCGGGGGAAATAGGATAAGGGGAATTGCAGTTAGCAATAACAACTGTGAAAAAATTCTGAAGCAAATTTGTCTGATAAAAGCCTCATTTCTCAAACATATAGTGAACTGAGCCAAGTTTATAAAAATAAGAGCCATTCCCCAAGTGATAAATGATCAATTTTCAGATGAAGTAATCAAAGCTATCTATAGCCGTATGAAAAAATACTCAACTCATTATTGACAGAGAAATGCAAATTAAAACAATTCTGAGGTACTACCTCATACCTATTAGATTAGCTAATAGGACAGAAAAGGCAAATGACAAATGGTGGAGAAGAGGTGGGAAAAATGAGACTTTAATGCACTGCTGGTGGAGTTGTGAACTGATTTAACCATTCTGTAGAGCAGTTTGGAACTATACCCAAAGGGCTATAAAACCTTTGACCTAGCAATACCACTACTAGGTCTATATTCCAAAAGAGATAAAAAAGAAAAGAACCTATAATTACAAAAACATTTATAGCAGCTCATTTCTGTGGGCAAAGAATTAGAAATTGAAGGAATGCCCATCAAGTGAGGAATGGCTGAACAAGTTGTGGTATGTGATTATGACAGACTACTATTCTACTATAAGAAATGATGAGCAGGATGCTCTCAGAAAAACCTGAAAAGATCTGCATGGGTTGATGCAAAGTGAAATGATCTGTGTACAAAGTAACAGCAATATTGTAGGATGATCAGCTGTGAAGGCCTTAGCTATTCTTAGCAACACAACAATCCAAGATAACTCTGATAGACTTATGATGAAAAGTGCTATCCATCCCCAGAGAAAGAATTCATGGTGTATGAATCCAGATCAAAGTATACTTTTTAAAATTTTTCTTTATTTTTCTTGAGGTTTTTTTTCCTATGTTTTCTTTCACAACATGACTATTATAGATATGTTTTGTATGACTACACATGTATAACCTGCTTGCCTTCTCTATGAGGTGGAGTGGGGAAGAAGAAAGGAAGAGAAATAACACAGGAGAAAGCATTTACAAGGAAAATAATTATGGTTTAAGAAGCATCACACCTTATTACAGGCAAACATTTAAACACTCAATTCAAAGACAATCTGGTTATCAGTAGCTTAACCCCTGTCACTAAGGCAATACGGACCTCAAATGCATTAAAAAAAAAATCAGAAAAGAATCGCCCTGTTATGCTTTGCTATATGTTACTCTAGCCTCAATCCTTATGTTTCATGTTCGTTTTCAGTTTACATTTAGGGAACAAAACATAATTTACTTTTAAAACTGAAACTCCTTCACCTTTATAAATCTATGGGAAACTTTAATCTTTTTAACTGGCATCATCAGAACTGAGGAATTAACCTGTAATGATTTTTAAAATTCAGGAAACTCTTATGAGAAGGTGAAACCAGGTGACCACGCGTACAAGAATTAGCTTGCTAGGGTCTATTCTAGCCACTCACAATTGTACACTGGTCCAATACACCACCATGTATGAAGCACTGAACACAAAGTCATGAATAAATATTGGCCAAATGACTATCTACAGTATGCTATAGAGTCTGAAGAACAGCTCAGAAATTAAGAATTCAATTGGAAATGCAGGCCATGAGAAAATTTAATGGCACCACTGTTCTTTGTTCTTTTAGGCCACTAGTGGGAAGAGAGAGATTCTAGGCTCTGGGAATATTTCCAGAGTACAGGAAAGGAGATGAAGAATAGGCTTCTATCTCTCTGAAAACATCCCAAATAAATCTGTCAAATCATCCACGGGTGAGTCAGACATTCTCTACAGTCTCTGCTCCTATCCCACAAGAAATGTTCAAAGATCCTAAAGATAGATCTGGGAGAAGGTAACAACATACTGCTTTCCCATCCCTTAGTGCAAAAGGGCCCATTTAGTGCTTTCTTTCCCAAATTTTGTACTTATTGTCTTTACACTGATTCTGTGTTATGTGAATATATCTATACCTATCTATACGTACCAAAACACGCACACACATATACTTGTCTCCCCTGACTGAATATAACCACTTTGAGTGTCCCACCTTGAATGCAGAGTTATCATTCTTTATATATACATTCCCAGTGTCTAGCAAAGTACCTATTACAAAGTAAAAACTTAATAAATGTATAATTGGTTGATAAAATCCACAGGAAAACAGAAAAACTAACCTGTTAGAGATGAGTCCTTTCTTACAGAAAAAGGAAAAGCTGAGAAAACCTTTGAAACTGTTACCCCTCCCATTGCACTTGGTGATCTGCCACAGATTTAGAGTTGTGCTGCATTTCCTATTTCTGGCCCTCTTGACATTATAGTCAGGTACAAAAAACACCCCTTAAAAAATCTCATTTGTATATATAGTTTGTGAATGGTTTCCTTCCTTTTCCCGTTTCTAGTGTGGATGCTGAATCACCACAAAATTACTCATTCACAAAGTCATTTTCTATCAAAAGTAGGAACAGAAATTGGTAGAATGATATTATTTTGATTTTAAGGAAAAAATCCAAAGAACCTACAGAAATAACACTAATTCAAAAATAAAAGAAACTACTTAACACGCACAACAAAAGGAACAACAATAGGGATATACACAGCATTTAAATCCTTTATGCAGGATTGGAGTATAGCCCTTTAAAAGGCATTTTAATTTAAACTGAAAAGAATTTTAATAAGAAGCTAAAGATGACTCAGTAATGCAGCCAGAATCAGACATCATCTAGCAGATATGTTTTTCTCATTTGATATTAGGAAGTCATACAAATAATGTTTTATTAAATCAACCACAATTTTTAGATATTAAAACTTAGTTTATTTAAAATGTAGGGGTGGAGTGGGGCAACAGCAAATGTAATGAGATACAAACCTCTGGACTAGAGTTCTTAACCTTTTATATGTAATGAACCCCTTTGTCAGCCTGGTGAAACCTATGGATTTTTTCTCAAAGTAACGTTCTTTAAATGTATAAAATAAATAATGAATTATAGTGAAATATTGTCTATCTCTCTCTATCTTTCTATGGAACCCACATTCAGAACGTCTGAACCACCTCAATAGTGTGACAGGTTTCATGTAAATGAACAGCTAAAAGATTTGTTCTGCTAACACATCCTACTTCAACAGTTCCCCTCAAAAGAGAAGATTTCATGTGACATGTGACCCAAAGGAAGACAATGATGTCCTAAAAGATTTTCTTAAGAATCTACAGAATAAGTACACACCAGGATATTTAGTGATTTTCCAACCCAAATCATTTAGACAGTTTCCAAGGCAAATCTAGGGTCACTTACCTTCTGCAGAATGCATATGAGAGCTGCCAATCTGGTCCACCAGCAGCATGAAGACAAAGCCTAAGACGAGGGAAACACCAATATATGCATGTAGTCTTGTGTGATCATGGCTGTGCTCATGTTCATGGACAAGTGGTTTTTCTACTGCTTTATCTGATGCAATCACATTCTGTGCCTCACTGGCCTGGTGGTGCTTTCCTAATACAGGACAAATCAAAAGTAGGAAAGAAATTTATTCCAGACCTGTTCCCAAAAGCACCTTATTTCCTATGGTGTAACCTATCTAAACATAAAGTGCGTCAACTAGCATGTCTAAGATATTTAAATTTTCAAGTTTCTTCTACTGAAACGCAATTCTGTTTGCCCATAGTATTTTCAAAACTTAAAATAGAGAAGCAAATTTACAAGGGAGCAAGGAAGCCATAACATTTCCCAACAGCCATAACATTCAAGATCTGCACCAAAAAATTATGCCAAAATTATGGAAAGCTTTACTCTGATTAATCTGCCAGTGAAGAACAGAATCAATTAATAATTATCACTCCTAGGTACTATAAAAAATGAAAAGCAAATTACCATTTTTTCCAGTTTTCAGCTTTAAAAGCTGTAACCTTAGAGGAATCATTTGCACCTGTTTCTTCATCTACAAAATGAAGAATGACCTCCCATGGCTCTCCTAGTTTTAATATTGTGACTTGAATAATTTCTGGTACCATTCATTAGTTGAAACAAGTATAAAAAAGGCAGAGAAAACATCCTCCAGACCAAATTCAATCTTCTCAATCTTTCATTTCTGGAGACTTTGAAATGCAACAAATGAGGCAAAAACACTACTGAATGTTCATCTATCCTATAACCTGGATGCAAACTCTTCAGGGACTGAAGCTTCATCTTTACTGAATTTCGTTAATAGGCCAATAGAATGGGTAGTTTAAAAAGCAAGAACAAGAAGGTTCAATTGGCATCAAAATGGAGCTGTTATACTTTCTTACAAAAGATGATAAATAATCCTGTTTGCAATTTCTTGTGCCTAGCTACTTTTATTTCTCCAAGCGTCCTTTTTAGGAGGGAACAAACAAGTACTGTCAGGAAATATGAAACTTTTATATTTTTATAATTCTTTAAGGATTTAAAAAAGAATATGGAGAGATATTCTAGGCTCTTTAATGAACGTCACATAAATACATCATGAAAGCTAAGATTTGTGCAGATGGCGAAATAACATATAAAATACAGACTAAGGCCCTGAAAAGTTTATAATCTTTGGTAAAATAATAGCTAAAACTTTTACATATATATATATATATCACTTATTAAGAGAAAAAGTATACTCAAATACAGAATAAGAGGCTGTTACCATAGCCTGCAACAGGATTACTACTGGATAATAGATTAGTCTCTTATTCAATGCTCAAATATGTGGTATTTTAGTGATTATCTTACAGATATCACTAAAAAAAAGAAAAACAAATCTCACTGGGACAACTTGAGAAGGATAAAGTTCCTGCACACTTGTATTGCACATCGATGAAGAAATGGAAAGAAAGAAAAAAAAATTCTGCTTTATATTAATATTTCTCTAGCTATAGAATGCACATAATATTTATATTTTTTATTTCATGGACTCATCTGGATTAAGTAGAGGGCAACCAACACGTGAATTATTTAAAAATTTTTTTTCTAACAATTTATTAAAAATCTTTTTTTTTCTAAAAGAAATAACAAGCACAGCCATATTCTCCTAGTAGGGCCAGGTTCATAATTAGAGGCAATCTAGCTGATTCCACCTGCTCAGACTCCAAATCTCTCCCCATCTGTGAACACATTGCAGTGTGTTCAAGTTACTGCTATTCTAAACATCCTCTTTCAAAATTCAAATATGGTTGGGAAGAGTTAATGTTAATAAATCACTTAATTATCAAAATTAAACTCCAAGGGTAGGTTGTTCTAATATAATAGGATAACTTCGGACGAGGAGAGTAGCCTAATCAGATATTGCAATGGATACAGGGTTGTTCAGGGAAGGTGGAGAAAACAGGAAGAGGCTGCAGGGTACTAAAAATGAATTTTTCCCACAACGTAACTTTGCTTAGAACCAAGTCCATTACACTAACAATTACTGTTAGCAGTAAGCACAATAAGCAGAAGAGTTCATTTAAAGCCCAGATTTATCAAAACACACACGTTAAAACAGCAGAAATTAGAAGGAAATTTCCCCTTCGTATTCTAGATCTTTTGTTTTTCCAAATATATTTTATTATTTTATCAAGTTCTAAAACGCATTCCCTTGGTTAACTTTATTGGTATAGCAGTAAAAGTGTAAACTAACTTAGAAGGTATTGTCATTTTTATTATATTGGCATGGCACAACCATGAGCACTGAATAATCAGTTCACCAAGTATCTAAGTTGTTCTTTTTCTCTTTAACAAGCACTTTGTAACTGAATCTAAACAAGCCTTTTCTGTGCTTTGGTGGATCAATATCCAGATACTTTATGCATTTTGTAGTTAGTAGAATAGAATGCTTTTTTGGTTTTGTTACTATGACATAGAAATTTAGTAAATTTTTGAGGATTTATTTTGTAGCCTGTACTTTGTCAAAGGCTTTTTTTGGGGGGGGGGGCATCTAGTGAGATGATCATGTGGCTTTGGATGTTTTGGTTTTTAATACAATTATGCTGATTGTGTTTCTAATACCAAACCATCCTTGCATCCCTAATATAAATCCCACTTGGTCATGATGAATTTTTTGGTTTGACAGGATTTTGTTTCAAATTTTTGAATTGATATTTTTTAATGACATTGGCCTACAGTTTTCCTTCTTTGTTTATCCCTCCCTGATTTAGGTATTAGGACCATAATTATCTCCTAAAAGGATTCTAGTAGGGTGCTTTCTCAATTTTTGAGAATAATTTGTGTATTATAGGTACTAATTATCTCCTATCACCCCCAACTACCCTTCCTTATTTCTTCCATTTTATAGTGAAACCCTAGGAAAAAGCTGTCTACCTATGTTGTCTCTACTTCTTTTTCTCCTATTTACTTCTCAACCCCTTGCAATTTGGCTTCCCATTCTCAATCTACTCTTCAAAGTTTTTAATGAAATCTGAATCACCAAATCTGATGATCCTTTATCAATCATTTTTTTTGTTCTCTTTGTAGAATCTGGCATTATTGGATACTCTCTCCTACTGAATGTTCTTTTTTCTCTGGATTTTGACGTCACTGCTCTCTCTGGTTTTCTTTTCAGTTTTTTTTTTTTTTGCTAGATCATCATCTCCGTCTCATGCTCTAATTCACGTCCTCTCCAAGCTTCTGTTCTCCACCCCTTCCCCCCTTACATCCTTTCTCTTGGTGATCTCATCTACTCTATGGGCTCAATTATCCTCTAGGCAGAGTTCCAGATTAAGTCCCCTCCTCAACTGTCTGGCAAGCAATGGAAAAGCACAAGAAAGTTAAAAAAAAAAAGGTCCTTGTAACAAAAAAGTCATAGTTTCTCTCCTAAGCTCAAATCCTGTGTCATCGATTGCCTACTAAACAGTTCCAAATGGATGTACCAAACACATCTCAAACTCAACCTATTCAAAACAGAACTCAGAATCCCTTGCTTCTTTTCAAGGTCAGCTCAAACAGCCACCTCCCACATGAAACCTTGTGTGATCCCCCTGGATGCTAGTGCCTCTTCTCTACTGAAGTTACCTTGTATTTACTTACATGGGCACATATTGTTTCCCCTGATGGCATCTGAGCTACTTGAGAATAAGGACTTTCATTTTTGTCTTTGTATATCCAGTGCCTATTTTTATTAAACAACTGGCTAACTGACTAACTGATCACCAATTGTTTTGCTGTGAAGAACTCCTATTTTAACTCACCTGGTGCCTCTTAATCAACCTTGGGGCAAATGGGGAAGGGAGAGATGAGTGGGGGATAGAAGGAACCAAACGCTCCCATCACCTGTTCTGTGGTGATCAGGATGTGGAGCGTAACAAAGTGGTATTCCATTTTAAAGGTAGAATCTTTTTCTTAATGCTTTGACAGGAATTAAATATAAAACATTAGCTGGTGTCAGCAGACTTTAAAAAGCATAGCAACAACCAGAAATGTATACACACTAATTATAGAAAGAAGGAAGAAAAACAGGTCCAAATGTAGTGAAATTTCAGGAAGATCTAGAAGAGTACAGAGTAAAAGCATTTGGGGTTTTACATAAGATTTTGCCTTGTTTTATATGTTTATGTAAATGCTTTTATTGATGGTTATTAAATCTATCGTTTAAAAATTTTAAGGCACAGCAAAAACGTTACAGAAAAAAACAATTACAAAAGGGAAATTCATTGTTTTAAATAACATAATATGGTTATAAAAATACACTTGAAAAAGTCACTTAATGTGACAGCCTATACAAATTATTTAATACTGAAGATGTATGGCATTATTCAGACTACTACGAATGTCAGATTTCTGCAACCTTGGCTTTAGATCCAACCTAGATTTTATTTACTTATCATTTTTTTTTTATTAATTTTTATTTCTCCCACTGCTTTCCTCTTACATGTACCTTTTCTCATAATGGTTTCAAATCCCACTTAGACAATAAATTAGCACTATGGCAGCTAAACTCTTGAGAAGTTCTCAAAATTCTTACTACTCTGAGAAGACATATTTTTCTCTCTCTGTCTTTCTCTTTTTGGCGAGGCAATGAGGTTAAGTTACTTGCCCAGGGTCACACAGCTAGAAGTGTCATGTGTCTGAGGCCACATTTGAACTCAGATCTTCCTGAATCCAGGGCTAGTGCTCTATCCACTGCGCCACCTAGCTGCCCCATATTTTTCTTACAAACATAAGATTATGACCATTAAGCATCAGTAATTCTGTTAGAGCTATAACTGTAAAAGGATATCTTGGAAGTTTCTATTTACATTCATTAAGTTTAGTTACTCTTAATAGGTCATAGAGCACTGAGATGGGTCTGTTAGTATGGCATGCATGAGTTCTCAAAATACCAGTTAATCACCAAGATTACAATGTCCAGAAAGGAACGCAGGTTGTAGGAATAGATAACCAAAGATCTTTTTAAAAATCCAAAGGAACACTACTGTGATACATAAATAAGAATTGAGAATATAGTGAATTAACTTATTCTTTGTTCTTAGCTCTGTTCAGTGCTGGGACACTGAGGCATGTGAGAAATTTGGAAAGGGAGAGTCACAATGATCTTTAAAGGCTATAAGGTCAGGTGTATGAGGAAAATTTAAATAAATTGGGATTATTTGTTTTAGAGGTGAGAAAAAATAGGGTTTTAACCGATTACATTCTGAATCAAAATCATTTTATAAAAGCACCTTGGACTACACAAAATCTAATGAAACTAAAAAAAAGATAAAGACTAAATAAAAAGAATATCATCTAATACAAAAGAGGCACAACTTAATCCTATGAATCCTTAAAAGTTGCCTTCTTTGACTCAAAAGATCCTGTAGGAACAAAGATGACTTAATTTGGTTCTTTTAAGTCATGGTCTGAATTCACTCTTGATTTGTCTCATCCCAGGTGCTTTGCAGCTCTAGAAACCACTGTGAGAAAAGGCACATATAAGAGGAAAGCAATGAAAGAAATAAAAATTAAGAAATAAGTAAATTTTTTCATTCTGAATTTACCATTTTCCATGTCCTCGGCCTGTCTTATCCTGTAACCAAATCCCAATTCTCAGATAAAATCATCAACTTTAACTCTTTTGGATCAGCATTGTTTTGTTATAATAATTAACAGTTTTCTCTAAATACTATCAAGCCCTCCAGCCCCTAATCACAAATCACAGGAGCATCTCTCACTCAATAATCTGTAGATGAGGATTTAGCTTTGTTCCTCCAGCTGAGCTCTGTCAAAACAATCATTACATTCCACTTAGTATGCTACTAAAATATCTGGAAAATAATTAGTTTTATTATATAATAATCTCCAATTAGAGGTTTTTACCTTCATCTAGGTGATAGATTAAGTGATCAAATTCTATAACAAATTTCTTTTTTTTAAGGGTTGAAACCTCTGATTTCATCATTAAAAGGTTCCCTTGTGAGGAAACTCCTACCAATATTATTCTACAGCTTCTTGTGCTGCAATGTTTAAAAGCTTGGGGCTCCAAGACATCAGGTGATTTGTCCTGGATCCCGCAATCAGGATATGTCAGAGGAAGGACGTGAATCTGAGTTATACTGACTTGATGCTGACCCTCTGCCCATTCTGCCATTCTGCCTGTCTATGACAAACTTAGATGGTATTTACTCCCAGCCGCAAGTTTGTCTCACTAGCTTAAAAAGCACAAATGCATCAAACAATGAGACCTTATTTTCTTTCTCACCCTCCAGAATATCTTCATAAAGTGCATGTACTCCTTCAGGCACAATGACAGCCAACGCAGTTCCACAGAGAAGCCCAGCACCCAAAACAGTTATCAGCTTTAGTCGCTCCTAGAATCAAACATAAGTACTATTAGATTATTGTATAAACAAGGGAGGGAAAGAGGAGGAAGAGATGGGGAGAAAGGGATTTGAAGTATTTGTAATCAGTGCTCTTTCTCAAAGATCCTTGAGGCACCAGGATGGTCCACTAAAGACCAGGCAAAATCCAAACATCTCTACTGTCTAATCTTGGGCTACTGTGGATCCGGTTTGGTTTGTGTGTGGCTTAATGGGAATCTTGTTATTTTACAGTTACACTCTGTACTTCATTCTTCTGGCTTAATTTCCTTATCAGTACAATGGAAATAATTCCAATTACTCTAATATCCTGGATGTATCTAATTAGGATATTAAGAAAATGAATATTAAATATACTGCCTATTGGATATTTCTTTTAAAATAACCTGAAAGACAAACACAATAACTGACACGTATATAGTGCTTTACATAAATTGTTTTTTAATATAAACTTATTTATTTTTAGTTTTCAACATTCATTTCCACAAGTTTTTGAGTTCCAAATTTTTACCCTGTCTCCCCGTCCCCCCACCCCAAGATGGCATGTATTCTGAATATCCCTTCCCCTAGTCTGTCCTCTTTTCTTTCTCTCCCCCCTTCTGTTATCCCCTTCCCCTTCTATTTTCCTGTAGGGCAGGATAGACTTCTGATTTCTTATTTCCTGATAGCATGTGAAAACTTTTTTTTTAAACATATGTTTTTAAAACTTTAGGTTTCAAATTTTCTCTCTTCCTCCCTCCCCACCCACCCTCATTGAAAAGGCAAGCAACTCAATATAGGTTGTACATGTGCAGTTATGCAAAACACTTCCATAGCAGACATGTTGTGAAAAACTAACTCTATTTCCCTTAATCCTATTCTGCCCTCCCATTTATTCTATTCTTTCTTTTGACCCTGTTCTTCCTCAGAAGTATTTACTTCTGATTACACACTTTTCAATCTGCCCTCTTCTCTATCATCCCCCTGCTCTCTTGTCCCCTTCTCCCCCTATTTTCTTGTAGGGTAAGACAAACTTCCATACCCAACTGAATGTATATGTTATTCCCTCCTTAAGCCAAATCCTATGAGAATAAGATTCACTCATTCCCTCTCACCTTCCCTGCTTCCCCTCCACTGTAAGAGACTTTTCTTTTCTGTTTTTTCTTTGTGAGATAATTTACCCCATTCTACCTCTCCCTTTCTTCTTCTCCAAGTATAATCCTCCCTCATTCCTTAATTTTATTCTCCAGATATGACCCCTTAATCTTCAACTCACCCTGTGCCTTCTATCTATCTATCTATCTCTATCTATCTATCTATCTATCTATCTATCTATCTATCTATCTATCTATACATATAATTTTTTTCCTCCAACTACCCTAATACTGACAAAGGTCTCATGAGTTATAAATATCATCTTTCCATGCAGGAATGTAAACAGTTCAATCTTAATAAGTCTCTTATGATTTCTTTTTCCTGTTTACCTCTTCATGTTCCACTGGAGTCCTGTATTTGAAAGTCAAATTTTCTATTCAGCTCTGGTCTTTTCATCAGGAATGCTTGAAAGTCCTCTATTTCACTGAATGACCATTTTTTCCCCTGAAGGATTATACTCAGTTTTGCTGGGTAGGTGATTCTTGGTTGTAATCCTATCTCCTTTGCCCTCTGGAATATTATATTCCATGCCCTGCGTCCTTTAATGTAGAAGCTGCTAAATCTTGTGTTATCCTGATTGTGTTTCCACAGTACTTGAATTGTTTCCTTCTGGCAGCTTGTAATATTTTCTCCTTGACCTGGGAACTCTGGAATTTGGCTATAATATTCCTAGGAGTTTTCCTTTGGGGATCTCTTTCAGGAGGAGATCTGTGGATTCTTTCAATTTCTATTTTGCCCTCTGGTTCTACTATATCAGGGCAGTTTTCCTTGATAATTTCTTGAAAGATGGTGTCTAGGCTCTTTTTTTGATCATGGCTTTCAGATAGTCCAATAATTTTTAAATTGTCTCTCCTGGAGAATGTACTGTCCCAAGCTTCAGGGGTTTGTACAGCTGTTTTCAGAGATACTTGTAGGTACCTGTAAATTTTCAGTTCTCACAAGGTGGTATGGTAAGGGGCGAGGTGTTTACTCCTTTCCTGGACTGTGAGCACAAGTATTCCTTTCTTTCCTGTAACTGTGAGGAGGGGTTCCTCTCCACAGCCACTACCACGCCAGCGTTCCTCCTCACCCCAGCACCGCCACCCAGAACTGTGACCCAGATCCAAACATGGGCAAAGCAAGAGATCCCTGCCTCAGCACTGGCAAAGAGATCCCTGCAATCCCTCTCTGATCAGCCACTGGATTCCCCCTCAGTCAGTGGGCCGGAAGCTCGGGAAGCAGCTGCTCCCCCCCCCCACCACGCTCTTGGAGAATGAAGCTGAGACCCTGCCTTCCTTTCTCAGCACCGACAGAAACAGACTTTTCCCACTGACCTTCTAAGTTGTCTTTGGCATTAGTGGGTTGAAGAGTCTGGTAACCTCTACAGCTGCCTGTGGTTCACTCCTCTGAGGCCTGCTCCAGGTTTGGTTGGGCCTTGAGAACTGTGCTCCCAGCCCAGCGCGATACACCTTTCTGGATCAATCATCCAGGTTGTCTTGGGCTGGAAATTTGTTTCGCTTTGTCTTTTTGTGGGTTCTGCTGCTTCAGAATTTGTTTAGAGCCATTTTTTGTGAGTATTTGGAGGGGTTTGGGGGACAGCTTAAGCAAGTCACTGCTTTCATTCCACCATCTTGGCTCCGCCTCATAAATTATGTTGTTTGATCAATACAATCCAAATTCATTTTATATGACTATACTTATTTGTTACAAGGGATGGCTTATAGGAGGGAAGAGAGGATACTGTGTGGGAACAGGGGGAGTCATAATGATGCAAAAAGAGCATGAATAAAATGGGTTACATATCCAAGAAGGGAGTAAAAAGAAGTTCAGAAAGGAACCCAGATAAGGGCAGTGCTACCATTTTAGAGTTGATGAAAAACTTATTTTAAAAAGCTAAAAGAATTGATAAACTTGTTGAAAACAAATGCAAAGAGAAGAAAATCTAATTGACAAAATAAAAAATGAACAAGATAAAATGACAACTTAAAAAAAACATATAAGACATGAAACCTGCCTACTAAATACTGACAATCTAGGAGAAATTTTGTATTATAATGAATTGCCCAATGAAATCAACAAGCACTTTTTAAGTACCTACTACGTGCCAGGCACTGTACTAAGTATTGGAGACACAAAGAAAGGCAAAAAAAAAAACAAACACACACCTCAGTATAAGTTCACAAGGAACTCACAATCAAATGGGGAGACTATGCAAATAGTTCTGTACAAAGTGTGTATGTGTGTGTGTATGATAAATTGGGGACACTCAACAAAGAGAAGGTACTAGAATTTAGAGGGAAGAGGAAATGTTTCTTACAGAAGGTACAAGTTTAGCTGGGCTTTAAAGTAGACAGGGAAAGTCGGGAGGTGAAGATAATGAGGAAGAAACCCAGGCATGACAGCAGATAATGACAATTCATGGAGCTGAGAGATGAGTGTCTTATTCAAGGAAAAGCAAGATGGTCAATGTCACCATATTAAGGAGTCTGTGGAGGGAAGTTAGGTGTAAAAAAAAAGAAGACAGGGAAGACAGGAAAGGACCAGGTTATGAAGGGCTTTAAGAGCCAAACACAGGACGATCCTGGGGCTCACTGAGCACTACTGTCATGGTCAGATTGATGCCTTAAAGCAAGATCACTGAAAGCTAAGTGGAAAAGGGCTGATTGGAATGGGGAAAGACTTAACTGAGGCAGGGAGACCAACCAGAAAGCTACTGCAATAGTCCAGGCATGAAGTGACAAAGGCCTGAAGCAGCTTGGTTGTAGTATCAGAGGACAGAAAGAGGTGCACACGAGAGATATTATGATGGTAGAATTGACAGATATTTGCAAATGATAGGATGTGAGGGGCAAAGATAGTAAGGAGTTGAGGATGGCACCTAGGTTGCAAGCTTAGATGACTGGGAAGATGATAGTACCCTCAACAGTAATAGGAAAGTTGGGAAAAGGAGAAGGTTTGGAGGGAAAAGATTATGAGTTTTGGACATACTGAGTTTAAGACATCCATATATATATATATACATACATACATACATACATACATACATATATACATATATATGTATGTATGTATATATGGATATATATATAAAACATCCAGTTCAAGATGCCCAGAAGACAGTTGGAGATGTGAGACTAAAGATCAGAAGAGAAGTTAAGACCTGAAAATCATCTGTATAGAGACAATAATTGAATCCATGGGAGTTGAGACCATCAAGTAAAATAGCATAGAGGGAGACAGAAGTAGTCCCAGAGGAGATACTTAGGGGACACCCTTGGTTAGCTGGCTAAAGATCTAGCAAAGGAGGCTGAAAAGGAGTAGTTGGATAGGTAGAAAGAAAACCAGAAGAGAAAGTGTGTCATAAAAGCCTAGAGAAGTAATTGTCAACAAAAACAAAGTGACTGACAGTGTCAAAGGCTACAGAGGTCAAGAAGGTGAGGAGTAAGAAAAAAACCATTAAATTTGGGAATTAAGACATCACTGGAAACTTTGAAAAAAGCAGTTTCAGTTGAATAAGGCTGAGTCATACTGCAGAGTTCAGTGACGAGTGATAAGAAAGGAGAAAGCGGCTAGCAATAGAAGGTATGGATTATAACTAGTAGGCATGGATGGATCAAATGAATTTTTTTAAAGGATAAGGGAGACATAGGCATGTTTACAGGCAGTAGGGAAGCATTCAAGAAACAGGGAGAAATTGAAGATTAATAACTGAGTAAGGATGGTAAAGGGGAGAATCTGCTGGAGAAGATGGGATGGGAATGGAATCACTTGTTTATGTAGAGTGGTTGGCCTTGGCAAGGTGAAGGGACACCTGTTTATGTCAGATAAGGGTGGAAGAGATGGAGGCAGAAGGCATCTGTGTGAAATGAGAAGGAAGA